TGGGCACATTGTGTCCTCGGAAGGGGTAGCCACGGATCCTCAGAAGATCGAGGCAGTCGCAAAGTGGCCGGTCCCGAGGTGTGTACGAGATGTTAGAAGCTTTTTGGGCCTCGCATCGTACTACCGGAAGTTCATAAAGGGGTTTGCAGAAGTGGCAAGTCCACTTCATGCCTTGACCGAGAAATCAAGAGAGTTTGTGTGGACTGAGAGTTGTCAGGAGGCATTTGACGAGCTAAAGGGCAGGCTTCAGGCCGCCCCAGTTCTGTCATACCCAATGCCCGAGGGTGACTTTATCTTGGACACTGATGCCAGCGGTGAAGGTATCGGGGCGGTGTTGTCGCAGGTCCAGGGTGGTGACGAAAAAGTGCTTGCGTATGCGAGCCGGAAGCTCAGCAAACCTGAGCGAAATTACTGTGTCACTCGTAAAGAGTTGTTGGCTGTGGTTGTGTACTTGAAGTATTTCAAACAATACTTGTACGGCCGCAGGGTGACGGTCAGAACTGACCATGCCGCATTGCGGTGGGTACTTAATTTCAAGAACCCCGAGGGTCAGCTTGCGAGGTGGATGGAAGTCCTGTCCCAGTACGACTTAGTGGTTGAGCACAGAAGCGGCAAGAAGCATGGTAATGCTGATGGGTTGTCGAGGCGGCAATGCAAACAGTGCGGCCGGGAGGAGGTGGTCGACGAGGCAATTGGTGTAGTACCCGAGGTTCAGCCTCAGGGGAGTGAGTTTTTGGTTAGGGGCGTAGCTGCCCAACCAATCCTGTCCCGAAGTGCTTTAAAGGAAGCACAGTCACAGGATGACACCATGAGCTGGCTCATGAAGTTGAAGGAGGACGGCGATAGTCGTCCTGAGTGGAAGACGGTCTCGCACTTGTCGGCAGCCTGTAAGACCTATTGGTCACAGTGGGACCAGTTAGAGGTCCGGGAAGGAGTTCTACATAGGCGATGGGACTCCGATGACGGGAAGTCCATCCGATGGCTGTTGGTGTTGCCATCAAAGTTCCGGAAGGAAATTCTGTCTGAGTTGCACGGTGGGCAACTTAGTGGTCACTTGGGGGTTAGCAAAACTCTGGCCAAAGTCAAAGCCAGGTACTTCTGGCCAGGCATGTCTGCGGACGTGCGGTCATTTCTCCGGGGCTGCAATATCTGTGCCAGGAGAAAGTCGGCTGCAAAGAAGAGGGTTGCGCCCTTACAGCAGTATCGAGTTGGTGTTCCGATGGAGCGAGTAGCAATAGACTTGCTCGGGCCATTGCCCGTCACGGACAATGGTAATCGTTGGGTGATGGTGGTTGGCGACTACTGCACTAAGTGGATGGAAGCATTTCCGCTTCCTGATGCTACTGCAGTTACAGTAGCGCACACATTGGTGACTGAGTTTGTCTGTCGATTTGGGGTGCCCCAAGAACTTCACTCTGATCAGGGCACAAACTTTGAGTCCGAGGTGTTCAGTAAAATGTGCCAAATCCTCGGCATATCGAAGACTCGGACAACCGCCTATAATCCGAAATCGGACGGCATGGTTGAGAGGTTTAATAAAACCTTGGTCAACATCGTGGCGGTGCTGATTGACCCTGGGCGAAGGCAGAAAGATTGGGATGAGTTCCTCCCCTTTGCCACCTTCGCTTACAGGTGCACGCCGCAAGACTCGATTGGGGAATCCCCCAACATGATGATGTTGGGGAGAGAGGTGAATGTCCCAGTGGATCTGGTGACAGGGTGTCCTGAGGTTGAGGAGGAGGTGACTGCAGACTTCGCCGAAAGGTTGCGAAGTGATATGCAGGAGGCCCATAAAAGGGCTAGGGAGTGCCTCGGGAAAAGTGCCCGGAGGCAAAAGAAGAACTTTGACAGGAGAGCATCCGAGCATGGGTTGAAGGAGGGCCAATTTGTGTGGCTGCACAACCCTGCAAAGAAAAAGCACATGTCCCCCAAATTACAACTTAGGTGGGAAGGACCATGGCTGATTCTTAAGAGGTTGTCAGATGTGACGGTTCGAATCCAGCTTAAACGCGGTAGCAAACCAAAGGTTGTCCATGTGGACCGACTCAAACCATATGTCGGTGAGGCCATCGAATCTTGGGATAGTCCATCAAGGGACGAGGTGACAGGAAACCTCCCCATGGTGACGGAGGGTCAGTATGACCAAGGTTCAGTTGAGGAGTTGGTAGATGAGTACCCTGTGGTGGATGAGGCCATTACAGAGGAACCAGTTCCGGACAGTAGAGTCAGTCTGCCCGAGAGGCAAGACATGTCACCGCCCAGGCGGTATCCTAAGCGGTCACATAGGTTACCCCTGCGGTTTCGCTAAGATAGTAGGTGTGGCTTTGATTCCATAAGTGTTTTCTGGGTGAGGTCGAAACTAAGTTGTGGTGTATATATTTTGAATTCTTCTTTCCTTCGTGTTTTTCAGGAGTTGAAGAAAATTGATTCTCAGCATGACGAAGGGTGAGCCGAGGCGATACAAGTGCCGTGAGTGTACCAGTTGGTACCTGCATCGGGCAAGCCTATGGCGCCATATCAGAGACATCCATGGGCCGGCGACGAACACCTTGATGTGTAGCAGGTGCGACTACGTTGCAGGTCAGGTGTATATCCTCCAGCATCACATGGAGACGGTACACAAAATTGGTGTGGTGAAGGGTGCAGCTGGTCCTTCCCAGGCACCGGAGTCTTGGAGCGTCAGTACGGTGACAAAGGTCGCAGAGAGCCGTGCAGCAGGTCCGGGTACGTCCTCCAGTGCTGGGTTGCCACCGGCAGCAGTGCCAAGTGGGGTCACGCCAGTCGTCGATGCATTGTCGCTGTCAGCCTCACCAATCCAAGAATCTCCGAAAGTGTCAACCTCGCCAAAGTTGGTTGTCCCCCCTTTTCGCCCCTTGGGAGGCAAGCCGAAGGGGATGATGCAGATGGTGAGAGCGGCCGAGGCCACGTCCCCATCCTCAGCATCACAGTCTTCATCCCAGGAGGAAGAGGAGATGTTCCCCACTCAGAAAAGGGAGGATCCTCCGAAGAAGAGAAGGCGCACAGCTACCGTCCGAGAGTACACCTGCATGCAGGTTTTCCTCGATGGGAAAGTGGTCAAGACGGATGAGCATAATAGCGTCTACACGAAGCAGATAGAGGTAGATGATGAGGGAAAGCCAACCGGAAAATAAGCAGGATGACGCGTTCAAGTTTAGGTTTTTGTTTCATTATTCTGATTTACCAAGTTTTCTTAAGGTTTCCGAAGTGTTGAACAGTTCAAAGTTTTCCAAAAAGTTTTATAAAGTTAAGGTTTATTGTCGGTAAAAAGAGAGAAAAAATAATAATAATAGAATCAGTCTTGAAATCATATAGAAAATCTTACAAAATCTGCTGATGTGAATTTCGATGTATAAAGAAATCTTTATTTTATATAAAACAGAAATCCTAATTAACAATTTCGTAGATCTTGTAAAACGCCTAATTTTGCACTGGGTGATTCCTCGTAAAAACAAATTGTGTAAATATTAAAATTGACAAATTCGTAGCTAAGACTCTGTAAAATTGATCCTAGTCAAAACTTTCGAGAAAATCTTACATCATATTTAATTAATGTGTATTTCATTATTTCAAAATTATCTTAACATTCCAGCAGGTGATCAAGCGAAAAATTATTTCAGAGCATTTATATTTTAATCGTTGTAAAATCAGTGGAAATTATCTGTAAAATTTCTTGTGAATTTTTAATGAGCTGAATTTAAGGAAAATTGTGTACGATCATTCCCTGTTAAATCTTGTGAATAATTAATTAGCAAACTTTGGTGTTCCTGTACATGTAGAGTACATGTAAGGCAAGTGCCCTTATCCGGTGTATACGAGCTTGTGAATATTTAATGAGCTTTGAAATCTGCCCCCCCCCTTATGTTTTATATTATAATTTAAAGAAAAAGTTAAGCTTTAAGTTTTATATTGTAATTTAAAGAAGAAGTTAAGATTTAGTCACACTTTCCTTTTATTTTTATTTATGGCTTAGAGTTGGGGACAATCTCTGCCATTGGTCGGGCCCATGTGACGGAAAGTAAAGTTTTTATGCCCTTGTTCATGTTATTGTATTCTAATCTTATGAATGAACTGTAGTATAGTACGCCCGTGACTGGGCGTGGCTTAGCAGTCAGGGTGTGCGTGTATGCACGCACGCGATTGGTTAACAAAGCCCCATATGTTTAGTGCATCATAATTGTTTAGTGCATGTGCTATGTATGCGCGTAAGTAGATTGCTACGTACGTACGCGCGGGAGGGTTCTGGCAAGTGGCAGCGAGCTGTACAAACGTGAGTTGAGTGTGCTCTCGCTGTGGCGTGTATTGCTATATGGTGATTTGCGCTATATGTTAGCTACGCGCGGGCGAACTGTTGGACAGTTTAGCCGTACACTTGTGGGTGCATTGTGGTTGATTGGGGCTGGGCCCATGGTTTCGTAGTGCTACGTGCGCACAAACCATATCTCCACAGTGGCACTGAGCTATGCAATGCGATATTGTTTAGGCAGTGCAGCATTGGTTGTTGCGTTGCTGTATTGTTTCTACATTGCAGCATTGGTCTGTGCATTGCTATAGTGTTCTAGTATTGCAGCAGAGGTCTGTGCATTGCTATAGTGTTCTATATGTTGCAGCATTGGTCTGTGCATTGCTATAGCGTTCATGTATTGCAGCATTGGTTGTGCATTGCTATAGCGTTCCTGTAATGCAGCATTGGTTTGTGCAGTGATTATTGGAGTGAGCAGTGCGATATTAGTTGTATATTGCAAATAGGGCTCATATTCGAAAACCACAGGTTGTAATAAAGCTACCCAAGACAATTACTCCCAAATCATTTAATCATTTAATTGTTGTCTCTGAAATAAATAATCGTGTTACTTGAGATTACCGACCATTCAGTTGCCAGTTGTCCTTGTTATTGTGTTATTGCCTAGTTAACAGAAGGTTTAGGGATCAATTCCTGCGGCGGTAGATTTCCACCCAAAACGAGCCTGCATCCTTAGCCTTTAGACTGCTTTGTGTAGTCCCTGGTCCGAGGAATAACTTGGTTCGGGAACAGACCCGCCACAGTATCTTATTTTTTCTTCTCCGGATGTTTGGTGGAATAACCGAGTAGCATTAGTACGCCCTCCGTAAAAGGCATCCCTAGGATTTAATGTTGCGCGGGGTCCGGTGATTGATTCGTCTTGCAGCGCGCGTTTCATATCTTCGGGCAAAGTTTTGACCATGTCTTTCCATTGGCATTCCCACATCTCTACAAATCTTGTACACGTGGATTGGAGGAACGTTTTCCTTTCCTGAGTGCGCGTGTATAATTCTGACATGGGTGTCATCAGCGTATTATTCATCGTCTTCCTATTTGGGTAACACGAGACGCATCCGTGAAAGTAACACCCGTTAAACGAGTAAATGATCCGATTTGTAGCGTCGTAGCCATCCACCTTGTACTTCCCAATCTGTTTTTCTCCCTTGTTTCTCGCGTGTTGAATATACGTACCCTCGGTCAAGTGAACGTAATGCAGCCATTGTAGCGCGACTTTGGATTGTTGTTCCTTGCAATCGTAACCGTTAGGGGGCAGTACAGCGATGGTATCGGCGATCAGAAAATTTCTTCTGTATACCAAATTACACGCCGAGGCAATCGTGATGCAACTCTCAAAAGGGTCCACCCCCTCATCATCTTCCCCCATCGATGTTACTTTTTTGAACAGGGTTCGGAACTGTAGGCAACAACGACTCAGAATTTCAACGTCACTGATACAATACTTTAGTAATTCGTCTTGCAATACAAAATGTCCCCCCTTTTCTTTCTCGTACCAGCTGTAGAATTCACGTCTCTTATCGGCACTCATACCGTCCGGATCGTAGTATTTAGCGTCCGGAAAGGGGCCTTCGTACGCTTGGTTTTGTTTTGTGTTCCAGAAATGCGGGAAAAAACCTTTGTGCAGTTCCTTCTGTCCAAATGCTTGGGGTAACTTGCTCAGCGCCATGGGTAAGAAATTCATGGAATCGATAATTTTGCGTTTGTACTTGGGCAGCATAATGGCTTGGATTTTACACCCTGTGTAAATGACCTCGGGTATTATGGCATTCTCGTACAGGTAACTGAGGAGGAAATACCCGTCGTACGCTTTCAAATTGTGCGCCAAGGCTGTAGAATTGGAAGTATCCTTGGAACCGAATAACCAATCACAGAACTCTTCCTTACATCTATCACCTTTAAATATCTTCTGACGAGACTGTGAGCAATGCTTACACGAAATGTACAATGGATCGTCTTCAGATCTACTAGCACACAATACACATACTACTCGAGCAACGCACAAGTTTGGTTCGTGAACACCATTGTCTTGGGTACACTCGAAATCAAAAAACACATATTTGCCTACGTCTGGTTTTTTCTTTCCTTTCTTATCACCTTCATCGCATAAATCATAATCAGCCTCGTCATCATCATCATCACTTACACTATTTTCACCGGTTTGGTCCCCTGTATCGGTTCGCTTTGTGCGACCTTTTCTGGTATTTTCAGTGACCGGCTTGACAAAGCATTCGTGGTCTATCGAACCCATTTCTTTGCACACGGTACAGTACCTTCGAGCGCATTCGTGTTCTCCGTATTTATCCTTCATCTCGGTGTTCACGAACCAATCGCAGCGTTTGCATCTATAATATATTTGGCAAACTGTTTTGTCCTTGATCCGTTTGTTCTTATGATTATCAAAACATCTCTGATCCTTAAAATTACGGTTGCATTCTGAACAGTGTACCCAGGTAGTTATCTCGCCCGACTTGCAGCCGGGAGAAAAACACAGTTTACAATCGTCTACGCATCTCGTGTGTTTCTCTTTGGAATCGTAACCTACTTGACACGTGTCACAAAAGTAACTCCTGTTTACAAACGCCTTCATCGATGTAATCAGATCGTAATGGTTATCGTGGAAATACAAATATATGGTGTGCCGTCGGACGTGTCCTTTGAAAATACACGCATTGAAATGATCGGCTGATAAAACCATAATGCGATAATCGGGAAGGACGTCCTGGAATTTCTGTATCTCTTCGAGACCGCACTGACCTTCTTTTACGCCCGCTTTAGCGTGTAAATCACGGGCCAGGTACTCTTGATCTTTGCGACTCTGTTTTATATTTCTTAGTTTTGGGTGGTTTTCTTTAATGGCTATTCCGGTCACTATCGCCCGGGCGCAACACAATTCCGTCTTGTTGTCTTTGATCTGAATGACGGACTTCATGTCCCGTAACATGTCGTGAATTTTTACCACGCCTTGCTTTTTCTTGTTTGTCTTTCCCCCCTTCTGTAACCGCATGTGTACGAAATGGATGTCTACCATGTCATCCAATCGAAGATGTTGATACGACTGCAACACTTGTTCTATGCGCGCCAGAAATCTCTCCACCGTTAATTCGTCTACACGTAAAAACGGCAAGGCAATTGGATAATTCAAATAACTGGATTGAAACACCAACCTTACTCTGTCTTCACCGGGGAGACCAGCCGTCAACCTTGCCAAAATACTCTCAAAAATAGAACCCAGGCGTGGCAAAAACTCTCGCAATGATAGGTCTTCCAAATCCCTGAACTGAACTCTATAATCAAAAGTCGTGGCTTGATATTTCTTTACAAATTTCTCTTGCACATCTACAATATCGTAATAATCTTCTGGTCTCTCCACCCGAATCCTCTTCCTCGGCGGTTGATTCTCCTCGTCCTCTTGAACATCTTCCTCGGCCGCTGCCCACGGATCATCATCATCATCGTCTGAGCCGTCGTCGCGATGACCTTGCCCGTCCGCTTGAAAATCTTGCTCCGCTGGTACCATCGGATCATCCTCCGAGTCGCCATCGTTGTTACCGTACCCGACCGCTTGAGAATCTTGCTCAGCCGGTATTATTGGATCATCCGAAGCGCCGTCGTTGCCGTACCCATATTGATACGGTTCCTCTATTTCTTCATCTTGGTTATTTGGTAAAGTCAACTCGTACAGCCGATTCAGAGCAAATGCCAATTGATCAGCGTTGAGTGCAACGGTATCCAAGATGAAACCGAGCTCTTCGTACGTTTGACAATTTTGTATTTCTCTGTAGATATCCATTTCTAGGTGGTGCTACGCAGTACGTGCTGTAGCTCAATTATGTCATTGTACTATTGCTGTACAATTTATAAATGACCGAATGATCCAGAGTCCGACAGTTTCGTTTACTTTTTCACGTACGAAACGCCGAGGTTAAAAATAGTTAGTGACGATATCCCTAAATGTAACTCGTGACACCATCTCTAAACTATGCCTCACATTACGGGCGCCACCGTATGCCCTTTCAAAAAATATCATAACGGTTCCGGCTAACCCCATGGACTGGTCAATAAGTACTTTCGGCCCTCCTGCGTCAACAGTCCCATTGTCCGGTATTAATCCCACATAACGTGCCGACAGCCCACTAGGCTCGTGCGCAATCGATCGGATTAACCACCAATCCATAGTCCACCGACCACATGGACAGCTATACAACAACACCACTTCCCGTCTATTGTTGGGGGGATTAAAGATCCGACCAGCTGTACTTTCACATTGCACCACTCAGTTGCAATTACATATAGATACATATTCTCCTAAAATTGTAATATTTTTCCATACATATATGCAATCTTTCCCATAGAATAGGTCAAACTGTACCCGGTTCCTTATACCCACACCTATTCCCTATTCATCCCATCCATTCATTAGGTCAAACTGTGCCCGGAATTTCAGAACCCCATTAATTCATATTTATATCTACATATTTCCATATTTCCATATTTATATGACCTTTACCTATTTCTAGGCCCAAGGTCAAATTGTGTTAAGAAGACTACCTCCACTACTGAGTTCCTTCTGGACAAACTACGGAAAGTTTCTACCGAGTCTGGAATGAGGAAATATCCGTCGTGTCCGCCAACAAGATGAAAATGAAGAGTGTTTCATGACAGCACTTTCTACTCCCTGATTTGTCGGGCACACAACTGACCCATCCACACTCACTGCAATTTGGAAATCTTTCAATATTCAAACCCTTTTCCCCTGACTTGAGCTTTTGCATCATAAATGATTTGCAAATGTCAGACTAGGAGGTTTTTTCTTATTATTATAGTTATTTGTTTCTTGAAATGAATTGAAGTGGATTCTCCACTGGCACTTGTATAACTGTACAGGGCGAGTCAAAAAGTGAGTGACCGAGTTAGAACTAGCAAGCACTCAGAGAACGCATACCTCCATCAAGGCTTAACAATTCTCTGCCGTATTGTCAGTACACCTAAAAGAAATACTGGCAATAATGGTGAAGATTCCTGTGAAAAAAAATCCTGGATCGAGATCACTTCCAAAGTCTAATCGATCTGTACTTTGCAGCAAGGACCACCTTAAAAAGTTTGTTTTGCAAATCCAGCCATAACTTTTTGAGTTTCCTTGTTAACAGACAAACCAACCAAGCAACAAATTAATCAAACCCGATGAAAGCATAACCTCCTTGGCGGTGGTATATGTAATAAATACTAAACATATGTTGCTCACTCTGTTTGATAAAATAATATGATGTTGTTTACTGGTAGCTGTGAAGATTTCAGGTGCTATGCGTACTCTATTCACAAGTTATTTGTGTTTTAATACAAATATCCCAAAATACAGCTGTCCATCACCGATCATTTAGCGATACGCATTGATGATTCCCCTTCCTATATAGGCCTACAATGAGCCATGGAGGTTTTCCTACTCTACATGAATGAATGAAAACTTGTAAAGGATAGAAACAAAAATCACCATCATCGTTTCAGAAAAGGACTTGATGTGTTCTTTATATACAAAACACAAAATCTGACAGTAAGATAATGTCTGAGTTTTGACACAAATTATTAAAAGTTCATTTTCATTTGAATGTCTGTATGTAATCTCTGGTTCTAACTCAGCTGAATAGCTTCAGAATGGCATTCCATGGACAGCTGTAAAAATGGGTTCTTTTAGTAAAATATGCATAACTTCTGATAGCATGGATCAGTTTTAGTAATTCCTCTTTTTTTTCAGATGAGTGTGAAGAACATGCTTCATTGCGTTTTTTTTGGTATGTCAAACTTAATTGTTTTAAGGGGGAAAAAAAATCATCAGTGAAGGTCACTTTCTGTTTGGCACACCCAAGTAGAGAAAGCTGAAGAGTGAAATGTTCTGTTTTAGAGGTGGAAGTAAAACCCCATTATTATTTTTTGTGTGGAAATCAGTGGAATCAGGTCGAGACTGAAAACCTCAATTCACAAGTGGGCCTTGGTGGGATTTGAACCTAGGCCATCCAGTTGAAAGGTTAGGAAAGTTGCACTGCATTAACCTGCACTCCTGGCATTTAGCTTAGAAGGTTTTTTTATTAGCTTTTGTTTTAAACTTGGCATTTGCCATATGAATTTCATATACATGTAGTTACTTTCATTGATTTTGTTAAAAGTTGAACTAAGAAATTGACTGTGATGGGTTTGAACCAGCAACCTATGGCTTGCCATTCCAGTGCTCTACCAACTGAGCTATCCAGCCCTATGTTGGCAGTTCCCCAATTTATCAGTGTCTTTGTTCAAGCACCGGTAGAGCACCGGAACGGCAATCTGGAGGTTACAGGTTCAAACCCTCACTCAAGTCAACTACTTTGTTCAACTTTAAAAATTATTATAACTGTACCTAGTCAGTCTCTCTTTGTGCTTTATTTGAATACTTTTTGTTGATGGAAGTCAAACATTACCCAAGTCACACATTTATGTAATTCACACATTTATGTAATTCACACATTTATGGAAGTCACACATTACCCAAGGATAAATCCACTAAGGTAAAATGGATAAGAAGAAATTTGAGGGGGAAAAGACAAAAGGATCACTGAAGGGTGAAGTTGAGGTTTTCCTTGAATCGGATGAATTTAGAAAAGTATAAACATATGAATTTGATTAATTTAAAAAAGTTTAAAAGTGTTTTAGTCGAACCAGTTTTAACACTCTCATCGTAATTAAAGCTGAGTGGAATGGAACATTCCATAGGTCACTGAATGAAATTATTCTTTCCATTGCCAGAATGTGAAACATTTTTGTTTTTACACAAATGCCTGAATAAATCCTCATCTGATTGGTAACTTGTAAACTGGTACTATATGAATGTACAGCATCAGAGCCATCAGAGCTGTGTTTATAGCGCAACCAGTTGTGTGACCTCTGACCTTGCAATGGAAGTTCTATTTGGAGGAATTTCTATTTTGGGGTGTGGCTGCGCAATTCGTTGGAACGAATAATTCAATGACGTGATCAACGACCCATCATTAAGATTATGGGGATTTATTCGTGCAGTATGAAATATCCTACTTGATTGTAAGTAACTAATGTGATTATTTAAGCATCCTGTGAAATCGCAGCCCCTGGTATGCTGTCATTTTCAAGAAAAGATAACTAGCTTCCTTGTTGACGGTGGAACTCTTTTATTTTGACAAACCCTCCCCTCTGACTTTGAAAAGCATACTGCCTGAATGTGGAGTAAAGGTGAGATTCCCTCTGGCTTTATATTTCTTCCTCAGTTTTTCTATAAGTTGGTGGTTGTTCCCACGGAAAGGTTGTTAC